AAGGTTTTTGTAACAGTGAGGAGGTTGCAAGAAGATCCCAAGCGCTGTTCCTATGTTCCTATGTTTTACAAAACCAGATCCAGACAGCTAAAAATGGACTCGGTGCTGGCCAAGCCTGAGCTTCTCAGTGACACTGGTCAAGCCTTCATGAAAACATATTTAAGAAAAGGCAAAACAGTGCACAGGAAGTGTGGGATGAAGAAAAACAGAACTGATGAGTTACATTAAAAATCCTGCAAACACAAGGATCAGAGAAGAAGGTGGAGGAGGTACCTCTGGTGATGGGATGGAGCCTGTGGTGATGGGATGGAGCCCGCAGCCCATAGGAGGGATGGTGGGGCAGATTGTCCACCCTGCAGGCCATGGAGGACCCCATGCCAGTGCAGATGAAAATTGCAACAGTGTGGCCCCTGGAGCAGCCTTATCCATAAGGACTGCTGTGGCTTTTTTCGGACCCTTATGGGGTCTTCACCCTTTCATCCGGACTAGCTCAGATGTTAGGGTGAAGCCTCGGGATCTGCCACATGAATGTAAATAAAAGATAACAAAAGAGGCTCTTTCCCCCTGGGGAGGTTGCAGGGTTTATTTCTTGTGGTTCCCCAGGAGTGTAAAGAAGGAAAAAGAGAAAGGGAGAAAGAGCAGGCAAGAGAGCGAGGGAAAGAGGGCAAGAGGGAGAGAAAAAGGGTGAAAGAGAGAGAGGTCAGGGGGCACAGGTCTTTTCTAGGGTCTGAAAGGGGGGGCGGGAAGAAATTGGATCTCGGCCAGCTAGGTATGGCCAGGAGGGGAGAGGGAACAGAACACAGGACGTTGCAGGGGTCACTGAATCGACCATTTCCGATACATCTAGGGAGATGCAACATCTCCCTGGATTTTGTTTAACAAAGTTGAAAGAAGGATATTAGGTTCATCTTGATTCAAATTATGATTTTGCCCACCACTTGCAGTTGGTGGGAGGATTAGATTGTTCTAAGTTTTTCATTTCTATGTGATTGACTACTGAGGTAGAAGGAATGAGACCATTAATAGCCTTGAAAACCAAATGACGTAGGAACCCAAATGCCATTACTACAAGGAAAAGAATAATAAAAATTAACATAATTATTTTAACTATAGATGTCCACCACCCTGTGCGTCCCCAGCCTTTGAACAGTTCATTGAACCAGTCTTCAGATTCTTGCTTCACTTGTCTGATCAAGTTGTTCATGTTTCAGAGGGTAGCATGGATGTTAGGAGCTCTCGAGGAGAGGTCCATGCAGCAAAGTCCTTCAAATTTCTGGCACTCATGTCCATGCAGCAGCAGCAGCGAATCTATAGCAGCACGATTTTGTAGTGTGGCCTGCCTGGTAATTTCCTCGTCTTCTAGGAGGGAGCTGATTGCGGTGGATGTTAAGTTTGCCTGTTTGACTACCCAACACTCTTGGTGGCCCAATCCACCCAGAGCTTTAGCTGCTGCAACCCACGGAAGAAACAGGGACACAGCAATTCTTTTTGACTTGGCCAAATGGAAAATTTCAGAATCACAGTTTGGGTCCAAATTGTCTGCACTTCTCTTCTGGATTTTATTACCCTATTTGTTTTTGTGCGTCCAATTGTTAATTAAGGTTTCGTTGGGTGCCAACAGGGACAACCGCCCAAAGGTGCATGGCCCTCCTAAGAGCCGAGAAGGGATCCCTGCCCATGCCTGATCTCCACAAATCAAGAACAATCCCTTTGGGAGGCTTTTGGGGCTTGAATGAGTTGGGGTATTAGCTGCAATATGGCTTATAGTATTGCACCACATTTTGGCAGTGAATTCCTCATGATATTGCATTATGTTGTGGAATTCTTTTACGCTAGAAGGTTTTGGGAAGATCCTAAAGTGAATGCAATATTGTGCTGGGTAGGAACCTAACAGCTCTAATTCTTGGGGCTCCTGAGCTGCTTTGGGCAAACTTGGCAGCAACTCCTCTATGGGGTTCTTACTCATTACAGCTTGCTGCCTACTATTTTTGTGTGATGAAATGGTGTGTGACTCAGGAAGTTCATTGGGCATTTGTGTTTCAAAGCTGGCTGAATATTCTCCAGCCTTCAATGGGATTCCTACCAGGCAGGTGGACATAGGGTTTGTTGTTGCTGCTGTGGACAGACATATGTTTCCTGTTGGAGCATCTGTGCCAGGGTCACCCAGATGTTCTGACGTGGCTGAGGGACGATCCATGCAGCTGCCGGGACTTGGATGGGGTTTATCATGGGACTGAGAGAAGAGAGGCTTTTCTCTAAAAGGAAAGACAAACATTATGAAACCTGCTAAAAGTCTCTATCTGCTGGAATGTCACCCTCTATGAGGATTTCCTTTCCTTTTTTTTGGCGACATCTTCTTTTTGAAGCCACAGCCACTTGCTCCTCGTTCCCCTCAGTTGGAGCAGGATGTTTGGGGACATAAGGTTTCACCCACTTTTGGGGAATCCACCAAGGGCCTGAGGAAGTGGATACACACGCATAGCCATGCCCCAAGGTAACAAGCTCATAGCGACCTTTGGTTTCCCAGGTTTCTGGGTCCCTAATCAAAACTGAAGGATGTTGGGATAACTTGAACTGTTTACCACTGTTAAAGTGACGTACCACAGGTGGACTCCTGTTCTCAAATGAACAATTCAGGAAATTGATAGTAAACATGGCTTTGCAGAGCTTCTGCTGTGGAGACATCCACGCAGTTGAACTGCTCTGTTTAGCCAAAACCTGCTTGAGCGTCTGATTGGCTCGCTCAACTACACCTTGGCCTGTGGGGGAGTGGGAGGTGCCAGTTTTATGTTCCACTCCCCACTGCTGGACGAATTCCAGGAACTCCTTGGACTCATATGCTGGGCCCTGATCAGTTTTGATTTCCCTAGGGATCCCCAACACTGAAAAGGCTTGCACTAGGTGTTGTTTGGCGTGCATTGCCCTTTCTCCTGCGTGGGCAGAGGCATAGACTGTGCCT